ACTGCGTGAAGATCGACGATTAGATTAAACTTTGTCTAAAAACAAATGGATAAGTGTTAAAAACGCAGGATCAATCGGATAAAGTAGTACCATGGCTTAAAACTTAATGACGATAACTGCGCGTTCTAGATAAGGCTTTAGATTAAATACCATGTATTTGTATTATCAGGACAGATTGATGCCAAAATTATCATTGCCTCGGCTTAAAATAGTTCAGAGCTTAGTACATACCATGCTTTAGATAGTACCTAGTAGATTTTTTTTATTGTCATAAGACCTCTGACAAGTCCCTTGTACGCATATAATGGTTATGCCTGAAATAGTAGCAATATTTAATTACAATGATCAAATTGAAGAGCAACATTTTAATTGTTTTTGATAAAACATCGGATAAACTCTTAAAATTCTTCAGCATATTAAATATAATTCAATATCAAAATATACTTCCAATCCTTTATAATGTCTGTCGCATCTATAATCCAGCGGTTTACACGTAGTTACCCAATTACAGGCTCATTGGACACGATAGTATTTTATTGTGTTTGAAACCACAATAAATAAAGTACTATCCACACATTTACATGCAATTAGGTATTATCTACATAGTATGACATCAGGCGTCGTAAAAGATATTAGATTTATCATGAATAATTCTCCAAAAAAGTGAGTGTAGATGGCTTTCATTTAACAAAAACTCTTGTAAATAGTTTTACGACTAGTGTCGGGTTGAGTAAAGTCAATGGCGTGACGTTTGACTTTCAGATCTTTTTTCTCGATGACTGTCTTAAACAGAATTGCACAGTTCTGAGTTACTTAGCGTGAACAAATCAAGGTTGTACTAAATACTCATTAGTGATTAAGATTCCTACATAATGCAAATTACAAAAAAATGAGTACCTGCGTAGAACTATTTGTTACAAGGTCAAATTTATATTGAAGAATTTCTAGTGTATTTTATTTGAGTCGTCTATTATCAAAGGTGGCAATCTGTGCATTTGGACAAAATTTTTTTATTGATATGTCAATACAGATTGATTTGAATATAATCGTCTCCTTCAAAGAATACGGTTCAAAACCTGCATTAAATAAAGGGTAATACTTAACCTGTTATTTATCTAAGATGTCCATCAGAAGAGTTTTGTGACTGCCAATGGAATACAAAGTCAATAATTCGTTTTTCTGATTTACCAATAATTGTCCAAAAGTCACATTGCCGGCTTTGATAATAGTCGACTCATTTAATAGTTGTTGAAGCAATTGAAAAGATCACGCATAAAGTCTAAAAATATTAATAATTAAAAGTCTAAAAATATTATCTCCCTAGTCACTTTACTGTATATATTATTATGTCGCCCATCTCTAAATTAAAATTGATTTAGTAATCAAGAACTTTAACTAGCTTCTTTTGTGTGTAATTTATTTCGTATAATTTTTTTCTGTTATGTGCAAATTGTATGTGCTTCGCCTAATAATAACACATAAGCTTACTTTCTAACAAACGTTGGAGTCTGTTGGCTTGTCCCAAATTAGGATTACAAAGTCAATACATACAAAATACGTATCTTTTTTGAAGTAATAGCGCTTGAAAGTATGTTGACAACATGAAATTCTTTAATATTCCTTATAAAATAGAACACTATCGGAGTGTTAACAAATACATACCTATAATAAAATATACTAGGAGCATATCATAAAGAAGCTATCAACAAGTGATGTTCGAAAATCGGCTGGGAAGATACAGAAAATTAAAAGAGAAATGTAACGTCTACATTCACGTTTCCACTGTTAAACCACGCTTGAAACTCCTTAGATTGTCGCAGACCGACGCAACAGTCTTTACTGTCTACGAAAACCCGATTTCACGATTGAGTTTAGACTAGTTAACATTTTGTGGAGTGACGAGATATAACAATTTGAATTTGCTATTGAATTTTAATTTATTTCATTTACTTCAGTTATTGCATTCATATAACATTCATTAACAATAACATTTCACATAGAATCTATACTTCTATACTAATATTATAAAGAGGAAAGATTTGTTTGTTTGTTTCGAATAGGCTCCGAAACTACTGGACCTATTTGAAAAATTCTTTTTCCATTAGAAGCCGACATTGTCCCTGATGAACATAGGCTACTTTTTTTTATTTTTTTTTTTTATTTGTTGCATGTGTGTTTTAATGTTTCCTGAGCGAAGCGAGGGCACCCGCTAGTATAAAAATAAAATGAAAGCAATAACAATTTTGGAATAAAATAAAAATGAATGTCAAAACTACTTTAATCTAAAGGATAGCTACTGCGACTGTCCCGCACGCGACGAATCTGATGGTACAATTATGATGGTATCATCTAGTAGCAAGTATGTTAGACGTCTAGTAAATAAAAAAATGACTAATGGTACCTAATTCTTACGGTCCAACGTGGAGACGGCAGTGTGATGGTTTGGAGATGTTTTCACGCTCTAAAGTTGGACCATTAGGATAAAATATGGATCGGCTTACCTAAAAGTATTGAAGACCCACTTTTACCATACACTTTACACCACATGCTAGCTGGATAGTATTTTCAGCAAGCAATAATCCTAAACGCAAGTCCTAGTTGATTAGCGGCTTATTACAATGCGAATAATTCAAAGTTATTGGCCAAGTCAAAGTCCAGATTTGAATCCTATAAAACATTTGTTGGAGGTATTTGATTGTAGAATAAAGATTAAAAATCCCACTCCAATATGTTGCGAACAATGGTTAGTTTGTATAGAACATTAACTACAAATCAATAAAAGACCACTGATTTTCTTTATATAATTGTTTGTAATCAGTTGAATTTGTGTTTGTCAAAATACTTTGTGCTACATATTATGTGTAATAAATACATTAAGGGCTTGACAATAGCTGCCACGTATCTCTCGTAAAAAGGGGGTTGAGTTTCAAAACCAAAGTTACAAGTAAGATTAGATGTAAAGAACAATGGCAATTTTTTACCTGAATGTTTTAAAAGGCGTCTTAGATTAAGACATAAACGAAACTTCATCATTTTATTTGCTCGTTTTTTATACGATTTTAGATTTACGTGGAAAAGCCACGAAAAAATGTTAATTTAATAAGCTTTTAATTCGATTTTTGTGTACTTCCGGTTTAATACATTTGTAAAGGATGGCATTTATACTATTGGCACAAAAAAGCAATATTTTTTGATAATGAATAATATTCATAAAGTATTTAAAATGAAAATAATAATATTAATTATCCTTTGTTACAATTAGTACTTAATTAAATAACTAAATATGTAATAGTAATGGCAGCACTGCAGATGACAACGATTTTAACAGTATGAAAACTGACATAATGCGCATGACTATGCCCGTCCATAAGGCTCGTGAGTGGAAAAGAGAGCGAAATACTCGCTTCACCGCTCCGATTTTTTATGACCCAAACTGCACGGACAAAATAATTCTACTATAGTAAATTAGCTTTACAAGCCTTCGTTTGTCGCAAATATGTAACTAATTCGTTTAAAATGTTAAAAGTACCTATCTCTGACACACATTTTTACACATTTACAAAGAAGAAAGAACAAACTATATAATATGTATATGTACCTAGTTAGCTCTGCAGTTGCTAAGGGTACCTACTCGAGTACTATTAGAGGTGTATCCTTGGTTCATCTATGATAATGAAACTAAAAATGTTAATTAAAAACATATCGTTTACCTATTTTTTTCAATTTGTTATAGTCCGTGTCTACAAAAATCAGAGACATCTATTTATTGATAGATAACCTCAAATTATAAAGTAAACACGTTGATATCTTTTTTTTGTGACTTTCTAATACCAAAAATATTTCTGATTAAGCTTAAGCTATGTTATTCCTATCGTTTCAGTATTTTTTTGTTTCTAGACGCCTCAAATAGATATCAGGTAAAATGTTGTATAGAAAGCTGCCATTGTTCTTTTATCATTGACCTACACTCGTTTTTTTATTATAGCTAGGAGTTTTTTTTGTTTATGAATAATAGTCATTTTTAGAAATATTTTTTTGTTTGTTTTTTATTGCATAGATTGGTGTTAAGTGGTTACCGGAGCCCATAGACATCTACAACGTAAATACCGCCACCCACCTTGAGATATGAGTTCTAAAGTCTCAGTATAGTTACAACGGCTACTTCACCCTTCAACCCGAAACGCATTACTGCTTCACGGCTGAAATAGGCAGGGTAGTGCTACCTACCCGTGCGGACTCAAGAGATCTTACCACCAGTATTTACGCAAATTATTAATTTTGTGGGTTTTTTTTTCTTTTTTTTTATTACACTTAAACCGTGGAAATCAATCGTGAACATTTGTGAAGCACGTATTTCATTAGAAAAATTGGTACTTCCAGCGGGACTCAAACACCGGTGCATCGCTCGATACGGATGCACCGGACGTCTTATCCTTTAGGCCACGCCGACGTCAAATCGATCGAAATTCGATCTTTAGCGTTCCTATACAGCTTGTTCGATCAGTTAATATATTTAAAGCTCGAATATTGCAACATTAAAAAACTCGCCCTAAGCACACTGTAACATCTAAGATATTAAAATAAAATATCGAAATTTAAATACGGAATGAATATATTTTTGAACAGTCATTTCCGTATTTATATAAAACGAAAAGATATTGTTATCATAATTTAATTAATACTGCGATATAATAACGTGACCTGACCCAGCCTGACTTGCCGATAAATGATGTCCATTTCATATAATTGAATAAAATGTTGTAATATCAATTGTGACCAATTTGACCTGGCCAAGAGTAGGAACAAATAGCTACAATTTAAATACTCGCACCCTCAAGGTTGCGCATCATCGTTTGTGATCACCCGGTATATATAGTGCTCAATGTGAGCTCTCCGGTGGTAGCTTATGAGCGGCGTGCTGCGTCGTATATTGACATTTGCCACTGTCGATCTTCATGAGCGACCGCAGCCATGTAACTCACGACCCGACTTGTCCGCAGTTTCAACAAGATGCCTCTGCAGATGACCAAACCCGCTCCCCAGTTCAAGGCCACGGCCGTCGTCAACGGAGAGTTCAAGGACATTTCTCTGTCTGACTACAAGGGGAAATATGTTGTGCTGTTCTTCTATCCTTTGGACTTGTGAGTACTGCCGCAATATGTTTATTAATGTATTTTTTTAGTCATCATCAAATGGACTACCTGTCCTCATTGTCACGAGCGACTTCAAACATTTTGTAGATAATAGTATTGAATGTGGAATGTTCAATTTAGTACTCCATTTCTTTTTTCCTACCTAAGCTGATAGATAGCCTTGAGAGGCTATTTCAGCGTAACCTTAACTGGTAGTTGAGCTCACGAGGCTCAAACCTGACAACGCTGCTAAAAAGAACCCTAGCTAGAGCCGTGCTTCGCAGAATCTACCAGCGGATCGGAAACGCTGAGAAGATCCGGCGAGAAACTCAGTGTGTTGTCCGTGGGTTAATTTACTCGTCGAGCCCTTCATCGCAAGCGACGGGTTCGATGAGAACGATGACCGGTGCTTGAGGTACCTGAAAGCACTGTTGACCTACCTAAAAGGACGTGTTTTGGGCGACGTCGATAGGACTCCAATGGGCAGATGCACAAACACAAAAGCCACCTGGGCACGGAAGGTCGAAGTCTAATGGCTTTGGAATAATTAATTACTCTAATGATTATATGATAAGAGGGAATGTGAGAAATCCCTAAGAAATCATCAGTCTAAGGTCACAACTGTTAATAATATATTTTATAGTTGGGTCCAAGTTCTATTAAGATTCGCGGCCGCGGTATCGTGGGAAAACATTTGGCTATTGTTTGCGATTCGCACGACCCGTAACTGTTTTTAAAACGAGTGCTACAACTATTTGAATTCTAATATACATACATACATGATTCAAACGATTTGAGGTTATTAACCTGTGCGGTTTCAAGGCGAAGTCTCGTTTAAATGCATTTGATTATTGTATAACTAAACACAGAAGTCATACAAGTCTTTATTTGTTATAGATAAATTGATTAAATTTTATTAATTAATGGTTTCCGAAAATTTATAAAATCCTTCATTACAAATAAAATATAGGATAGTTAGTATTATGTTACTGCCACCTGCAGGAGCAAAGAGAAACTAATCGTAGTGAAGCCATGTCATGACCGACGTCTGTAAACATTATTGTTGAGTGCTCGAGTGCTTATCTATAACTAATGCATGTGTACTGTGTATGTGCGCTTACAGCACGTTCGTGTGCCCGACGGAGATCATCGCGTTCTCGGAGAAGGCGGACGAGTTCCGCAAGATCGGCTGCGAGGTGCTCGGCGCCTCCACCGACTCGCACTTCACGCACCTCGCCTGGATCAACACGCCGCGCAAGCAGGGTACCACTTTTCTTTTTGACGTGACAACGTTTTATAATTCGATGGAGCCGGCTGCACGCACGAAAAAACATGACTCATGAGGCGTTCCATTTAAGGGTTGAAGTGCAAGCGAGAGCGCGAAACGAGCGACAAAGAGGCACAATCGGAAAATGAAACCATTCCATCAGTATTTTCTTATGACGTTGTCACGTTCAACTGTCGTCAGTAAACCGACTTTACAGACAACTGATACAGAACTTATTACAGAACTTTTATTGCCTAAATGGATGGACGAGCTAGACATGCCCATAGACGTCTCCTCGAGAATTCCACCACCTCGAGTCACGGGGTCGAAGTTCCAATTGCATAAATAACCGCTCGTACCCTTCTACCCGGACGTGTGGCTGCTTCGCGGCGGCAACGGGCCGGTCTGTGGTACCGGTGGGTTGATACTGTTGACAGTATGTCCTGTTAATAGTAATTAAGCTTAAAAATTGTTTAGGCTTCATACAATAATATTCCTCGACCACACAAGGCTGGCGTGAACACGTGCTATGGTCATTTTATTGAGAGAATTAGTACCTACGGTAGGATGTTAGCGGGTTATGATGCCTTGACTGTACATGTGCACTCACCGTTACAGGCGGACTCGGCCCCATGAACATTCCTCTGATCAGCGACAAGTCGCACCGCATCTCCCGCGACTACGGAGTGCTGGACGAGGAGACGGGCATCCCCTTCCGAGGACTCTTCATCATCGACGACAAGCAGAACCTCAGGCAGATCACCATCAACGACCTGCCCGTAGGGAGGTACGTGCAATACTTGACAGATATTCTTTATACGATCTATAACTTGTAAATAGGATGTCAAAAATGGGTCACTAATTGTCAATTCTATCAGATAGTACTGCGGTACTTAGTGGCGGCTCTGAGTACTGCAACAGGAATCACAAAGTGTCAATCGACATATGGCACACGAACCTTTGTATCTTCTTTATTACTACAATAATAATATTGGGTCTTTACCTATGAAATTGCCGTTTAGTATACAGAATGACTCGTAATTTTTTTATAAACGAAAATTTTATTTTATTTCGTCGATACCACGAAGGTAGACTATCGCCTGGAATGATTATCCCGACTTCTCTAGAGGTCAGCATGGGAGACCGCGACACTCGGGCCCTCGGTCTACAGAACAACTTCACCCGCTCGGTGGGCGATCTCCCCATCGTAAATTCTTGAACTACAAACTCTTTAAAAGCATTTTGTATTTCTATACTCTCGGGTATTGATTATTTTCCCTATCAAGAAGTTTTCCAAACTTTGAAATAAGTAGAAGTCTGTCAGCGCAAGGTCTGACCAGCATAATGGATGACGCAACACTTCAAACCCTAACCAGTGGCGGATTAAAGGTCCAGACCGCCCTAGGCAATCACTTTATCGGCGCCCCTGTACCGGCCATAAATGGCCATCATAATACTATAAATTTTAACTAGTTGTTTTTGCAATTCCGATGACGTTGTATCATCAAACCCCAGACTTTAGTAGACCAGGACCCTCGTACTTACGCTAATGCGCGAATGAAATATGACGTTGTAACTGTGAAGAAATCAAGAGGGACGACAGAACGAACATCGAAATTCATGATTCCTCTCTGCTCTGGGAAATAGGCCAAATAAGAATAATCTATTATAGATTTAGATTATAGATCAGCATTTAGTTCTTAACTGTCGATATGCTATTTTCTTTATTTATTTAAAAATTCTGAGCTCGCGTGCCCTTTGTAACTACGCCCCTAGGCACGTGCCTACTTTGCCTTACGGATAATACGCCTCTGACCCTAACTCTTGTAGCTCGGGGGACCGTCCGCTGTGCCGCATGCGATCGAGTCTTGTGGAATAGTCCCATCGCAGACAAGCGATTAACTAAGGCTGGCCGGAGATTCGTGAGCCTCCATCATTGCGCCCAGTTCCTCACAGTACACATCTGCAGTAATGCTAGTGTGAATTGACAAGAAATTATGATGAATCATACCGGCATTAAACCTCCAAAGACTGACCATGAATTATTAGAAGGAAGTTGTTGTTTGTTGCATCGCCTAGATTGCTGAACCGGGCTCTAACCGAAATGACGACCGCTTGCGATTATCAAATAGAATCCATTTGTCATTGCAAGTGACAATGCAATTCAAAATACCTTCGTTTCCGTGCGTTCAGTTCGTGCGGCACACGCTTGACAAGTTATTTTTACTTTGCCGATTTGATGCAAGTGGACCAATATTGGTATGATTCGAATGATTTTTATCGTATCCAAGTTGATGAAAAAGATACAAATACAGTGAAAACCAAACACTAAGCAATAAACTAAATGACCCGAATATGAAACTAGAATTTCATAAATTTAAAATAAAATGAGTTTGAATTTAGAATTGGTTGCCCGCCATACATTTCGAATGGTCAGTATTGCAAAACGGCAACTTCACACGTAAAGACCTATTTGGATGTTAAAAGTTATCCGCGCCTATCAAATAAGGGATGTGCTAATTTAATTTAGACAGTTCAGTGCAAAAGTGCATAAGCTAAACCGCACGAGAGAGAGATGGGCAGATTCATGATGCGCATGCAGTGTGACGTCACGCCGCGCGCTTATTCACAAACACTACACAAGCGCAACGAGTGAATGTGTTGAGCGCGAACTACATGGTAGGTGGAGTGGGGGTGTTAGGTTTTATTTTCGTTACGGAATTTCTCGATTCGGTCGCCGCGCTCAAAGCCCGCGATAAAAGCTATGCGAAACGATAAAAATCAATGTCATACTTAGTGTCCCGATTCCCCACATTTTATAGTATTGAAAAGTAGTATTGATAAGGATGAGGGCGCGCCCGCAGGTCGGTGGAGGAGACCCTGCGGCTGGTGCAGGCCTTCCAGTTCACGGACAAGCACGGCGAGGTGTGCCCCGCCAACTGGAGGCCCGGCGCCAAGACCATCAAGCCCGACACCAAGGCCGCGCAGGAGTACTTCGGCGACGCCAACTAGACACGACACCACACCAAGAATCACTCTAATTGAATACACAATTTCGAAAAGGGCACATCTCTGAAAATGTAAAATGTTCAGGAATTGAAAAAAAAACTGATTATTTTTTAAAGCAGTGTAAAATTTAAAATATTAACTTTTGAGATACATTTTAGTCTTAATTAGCAATTTATGAGATATGCCCTTTTCGAAATTGCATATTCAATGAATACTTCTTATTTTTACTTCACTTGTTAAATCAGTATTGATTAACTTAATGTAATCCAGCGGCTGCAATAAAGAGCTGTGCTGTTTTGGTACGTCTACTCTTTTATTTACGGTCATAATTCTGCTGAGGGTAGTCAATAAAACTCGATATTTGGTTAGGTTGAGCCCCGGGACCACGCAGATACAGAGCAGTTTCGTCGCTGTACTGTAGAACGCCTCAAGCTGGCTGGTCGCAATCACATTGTTGTCCATGGACTCCGGTAACCACTTGAACACCAGGTGTACCGTGAACTCGTTCACCATCTAAGAGAAAAAAAAAGACGTGTGGCACTCGGAGACTGCCTCGGTAAAGCATAGCATTGCATAGCATTTTTATCAACTTATGCAATTATAAATCGACAATAATAATTTAATATTAAAACAAAAATAAAATAAGATCCGGCGAGAAACTGAGTGGGCTAACTTTCAATGTATTTGCTACATTGAGTATTCCATTTTGACCGCGCACTCATTAGAGGGCGCTACATGTGATAGAGACACGCCTTTAGATGCTACTTCTAACTCTCATTCGCCCAGAATCAACGATTTAGCTAGTTTATTTTTAATGCCACTCCAATCACTGAATGAGTAGTAGGAGTGGTAATAAAATTCTTCGACTAAGCGATAGAAAATGGCACGCCCAACGCATTGTAATGTGATATAATTTTCTACTTTACAATTCCGTTTGTCGCCGATAGATGGCGCTTGACGCAAAAGCTGAATCGCGCTATTGTTGTGCTACCCACGAAATTATATCACATATTTTGATAGTACATAAATATGTGTTAACTTCTTACTGTATACACTACACAAGCGCAACGTGTGAATGTGTTGAACGCGAGCTATATGGTAGGCGTAGTGAGGGGTGGAAGGTTTTTTCGTTACGGAATTTCACGATTCCGCTCTCAAGGCCCGCGATAAAATCTATGCAATTGCTTAAAAGGTAATGAAACATTATAATATTTCATTATATTATAATTTGTAAGTGGAATCTTAAATGTAATGTTCAAAGGAGTAATTTAAATTGCAAAATACGTTACCGTTTGTTTGTTTTAGCCCCCGCGCTTCCCACTACTTCCTACTAGTCACTGACTGCATATAATTCTTTATATCAAAACTGCGCTATGAGAATACGAAAAAATTGAGTCTTAATTCTGCATTTAATAAATATCGAATATTTTATGGGAATAAGACCCTAAAACTAAATCTTAAATGTACATTCATATATTCATCTTTTATACTGTTATAATATGCAGAAAAATTATATGAAACGATTTATGATGTTGTTGATTAATTTGAGACTTTAATCAGTTGGGATGAAATGAAGCGAGATTAGATGAGATGGAACAGTCTCAGTAAAATAACGGTTATGTAGGTACTGAAACTTGGAGGAACTCAAGAGACAGACGTCGCATAGCGTTGTTTCATTTTCCCAGATTTGTGCACTTTCACAGACCCTAAACAGTTAATAAACCACCGATATTACACATTAAACCTGAAGAATCACTAGTCCACTGAGTTTCTCGCCAGATCTTCTCAGTGGGGGGTCGCGTTTCCGATCCGGTGGTAGATTCTGCGAAGCACTGCTCTTGTTAGGGTTCGTGTTAGCAACGTCGTCAGGTTTGAGCCCCGTGAGCTCACCTACTAGTTAAGGTTCCGCTGAAATGGTCTCTCAAGACCATCAGCTTAGGTAGGGAAAAAAATCGATACATGAACAAAATAAAACAGTACACACAACTTCGCCCCTCGCGTTTCGTTCAAAAGTCCTAACACAGGGCAAATATACTATAGCGAATGTGCACTCCTGCTGTGGAGTACTGTGTGCTTAGTGCGAGTTTGCTAACGTTCTCGATAGAGGAAAAGTTAAGCCAATTTAGTATGCAGTTGGAACAGCGCCCCTAGCGGCAAACGTACGCAAACGATCCCATTGAATAACAAATATGAGCTAACTTTTACGCTATCGAGAACGTTAAAAAACTCGCACTAAGCACACAGTTCGTTTATGCCTGCTACTCCTGCTTGAACCTCTGTTGTACTATGGATACTATTGGATACATCTCCGCCGACGCGCGTCGTGGGAGTAGCCCGTCACTCTACTAGCGAATGTGTAATAGGAAAATCGAAGCTCTCACACGAGGGATCTCATCTCAGTAATCCGCTTTACTTGGACCATTACAAACGTGCGAACTAAGTCAGAAATCATTTTTATCAGACCTCTCGCTCACTCTTATAGGCATGTCGGATCTCTCGCTCACACTTCTAGTATTGTGTGTATAAAACTTAAATCAATATACATAATTAGTACACAAAAAAACGTTAGTTATTTAAATTTTAAAAAATATATTTATCCGTGACACTAATTCGTTAAACACTATCAACACATTGTCAATAACCGAACGAGTTTGAGCGTTAATATCGCCCTTTAATTTTAACAAAGTTAAGTTATCGAATAATGCTTCCATAGTTCGCATAGGATTGTCTAATGATAACTAACACAAATTTTTACAAACACCCACAACCTACAATTTCCATCATAGCCATCAACGACCACGTCTGATCTGACTGCCTGAACCCGAGCGACATCCCTTTATCGATATCGAGTTGCGTGGCATTGCCCCCCTTTGCACATCCCTTTGACATATAGTTATATTATTATGACTCAGTTCGCAAGTTTGTAATATCCCAAGTATAAATAATATAATCAAATATGCATATGGTTGGTATACATATATACCGTATACAAAGGACGTAAGTACATAATTTATTATACGTATATAGATATGAGAACCAGCTCACGGCCCGGTTGAGGTGAAGTGGTTACCGGAACCCGTAGAGCTCTATTTATTGTCTTTACATACGACGGAGCTCTTGATGGTGAGTGGCTCATACCGCTTTGGGAGGCTTAACGACAAAGGGAAGATCTTCCACCGAGCGGGTGATATTGCTCGGTAGACCGACGGTCCAAATGTTGTTGTTCAGAACTTGTATATATGTAAGCTTGTCTTGAAAATTTCGTAATTCAGGCATCACTGTCAAATACCTGGAGCCCTAAAATCGAAGGTTCAACTGTATGGTATCAGCCGCAGCTCACCGCTGAGCACAGGCCGCCGTAGCACGAGGGTAGCGCACCCCTACTGGACTTGCGACTCGGGGAGAGGTCCGAGGGTGCTACAGCGGTCGACACCGTACGCCCTGTCGGCCACGATACCCAAACGAGGGGAGCACGCGGGAGAAGCGGAGTTCGGGGTGACCCGAACTAAACGTGAAGACAGACAGACCGCGTGCGCAACACCAACATAAGCAATAAGCGGCAGAACTTAATGTTCATCGAATAAAATAAAATTATAAAAAGCAGTAATCTATAATAATATATAAATCTACAGTGGTTTTTATGGATGTCCCGTTATAACTACTGAACCATGCTTCCGATTGACTTGAAACTTGGTATCCATGTAGAAAATACCTGTACTTAATGGATAGGCTAATATTTATATGAGTGTTGGACTCCCTACACCAGTTGCGGGGGCGTTAATGATGAGAATCTTTGTGGGGGTTAGAAGTAATAATGTTAATTTGAATTTGGTTACGTGGTTACGTACAGCTAGTAAAAGTATAAAAATGTAACTATAATTTTGTTCAATTCCTGAACAACATCTACCTCTAAAAAAGATTGGTTTACTGTGTTCGAGCTTAATTTTTATTTATTGCCTACATGGCTTGTGCTCACAGCTCACCTGGTGTTGAGTGGTTACTAGAGTCCATAGACATGTACAACGTAAATACCACCACGCACCTTGAGATATGAGTTCTAAAATCTCAGTATAGTTACGACTGCCCCGCCCTTCAAACCGAAAGGCATCACTGCTTCACGGTAGAAATAGGCAGGATGGTGGTACCTACCCGTGCAGTCCTACCACCAGAAAATGCAGATTTTTCATCAGAAAAACAAAACCTTCGTACTTAATTTTAACATATGTTAACCTTATTTGGTATTTGTATTGAATAAAAAATTGTGATATTTTTCTGCGTCTAAATAAAATCATTTCGTATTTACCTGCATTTTTTCGTTGTCAAATCTGCCAACATTCATGTCTTGTCCCTGTATTAAATTACTAAACACGGGTTCCATAGATTGTAAAAAATCTATATTCTTCATATCAGAAGGGTAGCGGTCTGTCTCAGGTATTTTACTCGGATGATTGTCTGAATAGGAATCGCGTATAAAATTGTGTACTGAAATTTATTGGCGCATTATAATATTATAAATTAAGATGGCAATGATGATGATGTCCCGTACAAATAACTCCAAAAAAATGCTATAAAGTATAGTTAAACAGGTCTTCTAAAATTATAAAAAATTCGAAAAGAAATCTGAGATTTAGTTCAATCGAATCGTTTTTGAAATGTGGAATATTTTCCTTGGCGTGCTACTTTTATTATATCCTACGCAATACTACTTGCCAGGTTAAGAAGAATATTCTAAGACTCATTTAAGTTTATTTTTGCTGCCGTTATATTCGTTAACGGACTATGGTAAAGTATAACGCGTACATATGTATATATGAACCCTTTGAGCGCGAAGCGTCGCTAGATCGACTCTATTAATGCGTACAAAGTGCGGAGCATCGAAATACCGACTAACCGACCGTTTAATATAGGTATTTGGTATCGATCTGTTCGAACGTGTCTTAGCGTGCGCGTGTATGTTTTTAATAAGTTAATAACATTTAAACTTATTGTTTAAAAATATTTTTCTGTGAACTTTGTATTGATCTTTGTATTTTTTAAGTAAAAGGATTTTATATGGTACTTGTTTTAAAAAAATCCCGAAGCAATTTCTACAAAATATGTGAAAATAAGCACTAAAAGGGTTAACTTTGAGTTTGAAACGTTTTAAGCGTTTTTCATTTGCGGAATCCTTCACGTCGACAGTCGGGTGAACAAAACACTTGACCGCTCCTTTGTTACGTTGGCAACAAGTAAAAGCAGTAACTAAACGCGCGCCGAGCGTCGCATTTCAATCAACAATTGTTATTTGTTTCTATTCCCGCTTGTGTTCTTGTCGCGTGCGATGGTGTGATTCTGCTCTGGAACATTCGGGAACTTAATTCATAACTTAAACAAAATTACGTATACAAGCATGAAATACTACAATTATAGTGATTACGGAAGTGGGAGCTCGGTGGATTCGGTGAGTTTCGCTACTGTTTATAATTATTCGGTAGGTGCCTACCTATATTTTGCGATACCAATTTCAGTTGTTGGGAAATAGTTAATGCCGATATACAATTTCTCATCGAATTATTATAATGGATTGTGGTAACACACAACATAGATACATGTATTACGATTGGGTACATTACAAGTTTATATTTAGTTCGCATTAATTTAAATCGATTGGAGGGTAAACAAAATATAATGTGTTTACGCATACAAAATCTCTCATATCCCAGATAACCTTGAGACCGACTGACATTGCCAATACGCAATACTAACGAGGATAAAATGAAACGCATTATTTTTGTATGTACCTACCTACATAAGTAAATTTCGGTTTTATTTTTTGTTATATTAACGCTTCGTTTTGTTTTTCACCATATTTTTTCTATTGGTAATTCATACTATCATTAATAAAGGAATTACACGATCCATGATTTTTTCCTAGTAAGTGTTTACATCTCATTTAATTTGCAGATAGTTCTTTCAAAGACATTGAAACTTTTAATTTCAATCAAAAAATATTACGATTTTTACCAAGACACGGCTTTATAATTTTCATTTAGCTGTATACTTTTATTCATATTTATATAGAGGCATTTATACGGAAAGGATGTTTTCATTCTACTTTGAGGGGGAGGGAATTAAAGTACAATTATAAATAATGTAAGACTTCCAAACAGAGCGAAGTGGTACTTCACGCCTGGAGAAAGGCTTTTGCTTTATAAAGCACAAGTCCGGCCTCGCGTGGAGTACTGCTCCCATCTCTGGGCCGGGGCTCCCAAATACCAACTACTTCCATTTGACTCCATACAGAGGAGGGCCGTTCGGATTGTCGATACTCCCATTCTCACGGATCGTTTGGAACCTCTGGGTCTACGGAGGGACTTCGTTTCCCTCTGTATTTTGTACCGTATGTTCCATGGGGAGTGCTCTGAGTATTTGTTCGAGATGATACCGGCATCTCGTTTTTACCATCGCACCGCCCGCCACCGGAGTAGAGTTCATCCACACTACCTGGAGCCACTGCGGTCATCCACAGTGCGTTTCCAGAGATCTTTTTTGCCACGTACAATCCGGCTATGGAATGAGTTCCCCTCCACGGTGTTTCCCGAGCGTTATGACATGTCCTTCTTCAAACGAGGCTTATGGAGAGTATTAAGCGGTAGGCAGCGGCTTGGCTCTGCCCCTGGCATTGCTGAAGTCCATGGGCGACGGTAACCACTCACCATCAGGTGGGACGTATGCTCGTCTGCCTACAAGGGCAATAAAAAAAAATTGAGTTTTGATTTGTCGGTCATCTCAACTTAAATCTGGCACTCTAAAGTCAACCAAACCGAATTGCATAATTATTATTGTTGTTAGCGCGCATGGGAACAAGTGATACTCAAGACAGCCAATGACACAACACACACACTAACATTTATTTTAAACATAACAAGAATACAGTGTAATAATAACTTTCAGGTCTACAAAGACCAACTTAGTAGGTACGCGATATTCAATTCTTGTCTGTAAGTAAACATTGAGACAGGTTAATTTATCTGTGCTCTTGTGGCAATTAATATTTCTGATACTACAGTGGTTTAGGCTACGGTAAGCTATAATTAACCATTGTCTTTTCTAGTCTTCGTTAAGCCAAGATATTCCACTTCGTTCAAATCTGTCTTCCGATTGGAATGCCACCAAGTCATCCAGCATTGCCAATCGTGAGTACCTACATCATTCAAAATTATTATTAATAAGTATCACACATCAAAATTGCTTAACCTAAGTAAACAAACTAGATTACAAATAGAATCGGAAAAGTCTTAGCTTAGTGCGCCATTTGTTAATGATTATATGAGTGAGTTGTATTGATGTCGTAAGTATTGTAAGTAGATATGTGTCGTTTGCGAACGAACGAGTCAAACGACCCGGGTCTCAAATTCCGCGCGAACGATAGGGTCACTTCAAAAAATATGAGTCGTTCACTAAATTGACTCGTTTAACACAAAACCTACGAATCAGAAGAAAAGAACCATACGAGTACGACGGTCATTCGGGTCATTTCGGGTTGCCGCGTCTCGCCCCGCGCCCGTCTCGCTTATACCCGGTTCCAAAAAATAACGAATCGTCATTGTATTATAACAACTAATCGTAATCATGCTACCAATACGTAGGCGTATATTAGGGTTCCACAACTATTTTACTTGCCGCGTTACCTACGAGCATCCGTCGCGGCGTCGGCGCGCTGCTTACTAACGAATCCCTCTGCGTTTCGTTAATGCAAATGATTGTGTCACAAAGATCCTTTAGAAATAAAACTCTTTTCAAAATACATAAGTTTTTATTAGTATTTTTACATAAATATTTTAAAATAATATAAATTAATTGTAATTCATCACATATGTAATTTTATTTGAACATTCACAATTTAAAAACAGTTACTTTAGTTTTAACTGTAAAGTGAACAAAACGCCATGAAGAGACAAAGGAAACGCCAGATGTCGGCCGGACCGCGCCAAAATACCAAAAAAAACTGATAAATTGTAATGTAAGGGAGATATTCCATGATTCCTAGAATTAAAATAAACTAGTAAATACTATTTTCATGTAATCACTTGTTAAATAGTTAACTACTTCATAAAATACCAATTAACAGCTGGCATTAAAAATACGAGCCTGGTTCCTTTTACCTTTAAAAAAGGATAAATTTCACCTAACAGTAATTGCACAGACTGCTTGTCGAGCCGAAATCTTAGTTGAAACTCCTGATTATCGAGCTCTGAATAATAATTGATTCTTGTTTTATACACTCTATTACTTCGCGTATCATCACTTGAATCGTCGCTTGAATTCAGTAACATTAAAACTTCGTTATCACTTTCTGAACTCGACATTTTAAAAGAAAAAACACTAACACAAAAATTCCAAAGCACAACCGAACAAAATCGGTAGGTTAAAAAATGCTCTACGCGTGGTAGTTTTGACAGCTCACTGACATTTCTAAAATTTTTTTTTTAAGAGATTTTATGACCTGGTAACTAAGACCTTTAAGTCATGTCTTATTTTACTTTATATTCTTAATTTTATGAAAAATGATAATATAGAGTGAAATGAAATGAAGATGATTAATTTGAGACATTAATCAACTGGGATGAAATTTAATGAAATGAAATGATATGGGATGAAATATAATCGCAGTAAAATGGTGGTCATTTACTGAGATTTTTTCAGTGGACTTTTTGGAGGAACCCGAGAAGTTACGTCCAGCAGCTTTGTTTCATTTTCCCACATTTGTGCACTTTCACAGATATTAAACNTTTAAAAGAAAAAACACAAACACAAAAATTCCAAAGCACAACCGAACAAAATCGGTAGGTTAAAAAATGCTCTACGCGTCGTAGTTGTGACAGCTCACTGACATTTCTAAAATAATATAGGAACACTACAGACAACAGTCTCCATACAAAACGCAGTACGAACCGTTATGTTAGCCCTCCCATCCGTTAGTAGCAAGTCATCAGTAATTTTAAAAACGAGTCGTTTTTATAGGAACTATTTTGTCCTACGATTCGTAGATATTGTAACGGATCGTAATATAAAACGATTCGTTTTTTGGATATTGGAACCGGGCGTTAGTCGTTCGTTCGACTGAACGGGTCGTACGAACCGGATCATTTTGTCAACAGGTCAGTACTGATCTGAATCTCTAAAATAGAACGAACGACACATATCTAATTGTAAGCCCGTACGGATACTGACCACCAACACGTCTATTTCTGCCGCGAAGCTGTCATGAATACCGGCTTAAAGAATAGGCCAGTCGCTATAAAATACAGTAAAAGCTCTTTATTCGCGGGATATATGCTTCGTAAATATGCCGCGAGTACCGGAACCGTGAATAGGGAATGGTAAAGGTGAAACGATAAAATATACATAGCGGCTCTTACTAAAGGACGTCTCATGTGGCCGCATTTAAAATTATACTTTATGCAATTGAAGTTTTGTTTTCATTCTCTTTGTGTTTACATTCTTAAATACGCTGACCGCGACGAAGGCGGCTTTTGTCAAAGCTTACGGCTTTGACAAAAGCCGCCAATATAGCGGCGATATCATTTAACAACATATTTGAGCCACAGTGATGATAAGGTATCAGCGTGTCCTGTGACACATAGGCCTCTTCCAGCTGCTTCCATTCTTCTCTATTGGTAGCTTTTCTGGACCAGATTGTCCTTCCAATCATCTTGAAATCATCTGTCCATCTTCTAGCTTGCCTACCTCCTTTTCTTTTGCCATCACGTGGCTGCCATTCTGTTATAATTTTAGACCATTTCATTCTGCTTTCCCTTGTCATATGTCCTGTCCATCGCCATTTGAACTGTCTTATTTTTTTTAGTACATCTTCCACTTTTGTTGTAGATCTAATGTCTGCTGCTTTTTTGCGGTCTTTTAGCGTCACGCCCAACTTACTCCTTTCCATTCCCCTTTGACACGATCTTAGTTTTAAGAAATGTTTTTTAATCAATGCCCATGTTTGGCATATCATTGTTTAGTATCAGCAATAAAGGCTATACAAAAAAAATGATAAGGTATACTTTACTTTTTCATTGGTCGATTTGAAAACGCTTTTACAAAGGACATCGGTTGAATATCTATGTACATTTTTATAAACGTGTATGTACTGATGTACCGATTAGAACGCGAATAAAGCAATCTTTAGCCTCGAATATAGGAATTGGGTAGCATGATAACTCTAATAAGGAGCTTTTACTGTACAATTGGGATTCGACCATACTATGTACCCTAGGTGGGTGACGACCTTTGCATTGTGATATCTCTCGTAACTATTTAACACCGGGTGAGCCGTGAGCTGATATAATTTTGCGGGATAAACAACGAAATGAATTTAATATTTGCTTCCAATAGCAATAGTTTTACCAACTTTTAAGATACGTGTGCATATAATATCTTAGTAAATGTAAATATACATAATATTATTTTGCTCATTTAGTATCTCAATTCACTCATGCAGCGATGTATCTATCCGTACTAACATTATGAGAAAGTGTTATTCGTAAAACACTTATTCTTGACCTCGTGGGCGAAGCCGCGGGAACAGCTTGTATATTAGAATAGAAAAGAGCAAGCCATAATATGTTTCTCATGGATTCTTTTCAGCGGTAAAGCCGCGTTTTGAATCTGTTACAAATTTTTTACGTATTCTATGTGCATGTTGATATCTGATTGAGTTTAAACATTTTGATTTATTTAACATTTTGAGTACTGTTTAACGCAGTGATGATCGGTAAATGCTCTCTGGATGACGCGATGAAGGAGTTCAGACTGAACGGCTTGGATTCTCCGTACAATCCCGACGAGGACAACATCTGGAGCGCGCGAGCAGGTTTGTGCCGACTGTAATATGAAAACATTTTAGTGGTGGTAGGACCTCTTCTGAGTCTGCGCGGGTAGGTAACCACCACCCTGCCTATTTTTGCCGTGAAGCAGTATTGCGTTTCGGTTTGAAGGGTGGGGCAGCCGTTCTAACTATACTTGATACTTTAGAACTTATATCTCAAGGTGAGTGGCGCATTTTTGTTGTAAATGTCTATGGGCTCCAGTAACCACTTAACACCAGGTGGGATGTGAGTTCGTCCACCCAACTAAGCAATAAAGAAATGTTGATCGTCACTGATGCCTTGCGATTTGGAGCTATCATCGTAGCTAGCCTTTAGTCCAATAAAACTGACACATCGACCTCATACCTGCGTGAATGGCACACTATAAACAACGTAATTGTGTTTTCATTTTAAATATTCGATGTGGTCTCCGATTGTGTATTAGGTCGCGTTTAACCCACAGACACAGCCCACTGAGTATCTCGCCGGATCTTCTCAGTGGGTCGCGTTTCAGACCCGGTGGTAGATTCTGCGAAGCACTGTTCTTACTAGGGCCAGTGCTAGCAACACTCCCGGTTTGAGTCCCGTGAGCTCACCTACACGTCAAGGAGAAGCTGAAATAGCCCATCAAGGCTATCGCTATCAGCATAGGTAAAAAAAAAGTCGCGTTGCAAATCATGAATGCAAATTGTAAGCCCTCACAAGTTGGTACCACTTATATCTGAAGGAAGCGTCGTTTCGAAGGGTACAGCTGTAATGCCATACAATGGAAACTTCCACTTCGTATCTTAATGTGGGCGGCGGCATTAGTTTTGTAAGATCTATGTGTTGTGGTAAGTGAAACACTTAAAACCAGGTCAACATAAGCACGAATATAATTTCTGTCTTACAGTATAATCCGTTGATTTTAGTTGCAGATACATCGACCCAATGGAACACGTACTCCAGGCAGGTGTCGTGGCCAGCCCCCGAACGGTCTCCCAAGGTACCGCTCCCGGGCTCTCACTGGACTTCCGGTCTGAGCAGCCCTCCTGTGCGCAATGGTGAGTCCAAGTGGAAATTTTGATCTTTTTAATGTCCCGACAATATCGGTAGTTTTTTTTTGTATAAAACCTATGTGTGTTTATTGAACTAAACATGAGAACAAACGAGTCCATTCTAAGGCAACTAAACATCCAAAAAAGGCTCTCTTCCATCTGCCGGGAACGTGTTATGAGCTTTTGGGACACATCATGCGGTCTCCCAGACATGATTTAGAGAAGCTTCGCATAGACGGCAAGCGCGCCGTGGGCAGAACACCGGCCAGATGGTCAGATCTAGCAAGAGAAGCACTTGGTGGTAGTCTGTACCATGCGGTCCATGCCACCCATGATCGAACACAGTGGAGGAACGTCACATGTGGTCGCGATCCTCAGTACTGAGGGAACGATATAGTAGTACTAGTAGTAGTAGTAGATTGAACTAAACACGTCCTCACACACTCTGAGTGTGGCGGGGCACCACCGGCAGTCAAAACAAGGGTCACCGTGCGTGCCGAGCTCGAAGCGACACTGGGCCTAGCAACAGCCTGCTTAGTATCTCGCCGGATCCCGCATTCTTCGCATTCGGGAAGCAGCTACCTTGAAGCTGTTGGACCTCTTACGGGCGCGCTCGGGCGGCCGCGAGCCAACATCCCCTGAGACCGAACTACCGAGTTCGTTCCACGTCTTAGTTAAACCACAACACCTTCACGACAATAAAAAAACAAATGGAGAATTAATCATCTAGACTGGTACTTAAATCAGATATGTGGTGTAAATTGGTAGAGGCGTGTGTTCAGCAATGGACGACTAGGCTGATGATGGTGATAGTGATAATGATTTTGTAAATCCTAAATACAAAAGCAAGATATGTACTTCTCGCAATATAATATTAGATATTTCTTTTGTATTAGCTTGTTTTTGTAAAGTGTATGTATTATTTTTCGTCACTCAGAGACCCTGACACCTCCTGCCGCCAACCAAGTGCAGCCCACCGAGGAGCAGCTGCGGGTGCTGAGCTCGCTGCCGGACGCCGTGCTCTACACCCTGCTGAGGAAGCTGGAGAGAATCCGGGGAGACGACGCGACTAGGACGAATGAAGTACGCCTTCGTACAATGTTTCTGTGAACAGTTTCGTAAGCTCGAAAGTTAAGTCCTGGATGTGTGCGCAGGAGTGCCGCTTCTGCAAGAACAACGGCGAGCGCGCGGCGTACTACCGCTCGCACGCGCTGCGCGACGCCGCCGGCCGCGTGGCCTGCCCCGTGCTGCGCGCCTTCGTGTGCGCGCGCTGCGGGGCCCGCGGGGACGCCGCGCACACCGCCAAGTACTGCCCCCGCGCCACACGAGACGGTACGTACCGCGCCCCGCACACCCGCCCCCCGCGCACCCGCCCGCCGCGCACCCGCCCGCCGCGCACCCGCCCGCCGCGCACCCGCCCGCCGCGCACCCGCCCGCCGCGTGGCCTGCCCCGTGCTGCGCGCCTTCGTGTGCGCGCGCTGCGGGGCC